AAATTTTAAAAAAAAACCAAATTTGTTACACTACGTTTACTTTCGGCATTTTTTACGGGATAATGACCCGGGCTGTATCTGAGGACATGCTTAGCAGGCCAGTACGTCTTCTGCAGTGCTCATTTCTTTTGCTTTTGTGTTCTTGATAACCTGTTCTCTGGAGACTAATACAATTTTGATTTGTCAGGTGGGCATCAACTACCAGCCACCAACAATAGTGCCCGGTGGTGACCTGGCCAAGGTGTCCAGAGCTGTGTGTATGTTATCTAATACCACAGCTATAGCTGAAGCTTGGGCACGTCTTAGACCACAATTTGATCTTATGTACGCGAAGAGAGCTTTTGTACACTGGTAAGTGGTTGGCTCAGCAGAGCGCGCTGTTATATCCATTGTTGGCTAAACATACAAGATTTTCTGCTGTGGTTTGATAATCTGAAGTAATTATAGAAACTGCTATAAAAATATTAAGTACAGACGGTGTTGTCTGAAGGACATTAGAGTTAACTCTATAGTAGTTATTATAGTTAAGCTCATGCTCACTGCATACAGTGTAAATATAACTAACTGTTACTAAGGTGATTCATCACATTTAATACAAGTTAAAATATGTTAGGTAAGACACATATGCAACAGTTAGGTATCTTTATTTCGAAACGTTTCGCCTACACAGTAGGCTTCTTCAGTCGAGTACAGAAAAGTTGATAGAAGCAGAAGATACTTGAAGACGATGTAATCAGTCCATCACCCTTAAAGTTTTGAGGTGGTCAGTCCCTCAGTCTGGACTGATGGACTGATTACATCGTCTTCAAGTATCTTCTGCTTCTATCAACTTTTCTGTACTCGACTGAAGAAGCCTACTGTGTAGGCGAAACGTTTCATAATAAAGATACCTAACTGTTGCATATGTGTCTTACCTAACAACCTGTCGGTATTTTATACCATTTTAATGTTCAAGTTAAAATATGACAGGTGTGACAGTCAGCTGTCATGCACTTGTTTTACGGCAGAAGTTGAAAAACAGTGAAGGTTCACACTATATTTATAAAATTAATGTTGTAAAAAATATTATTTTGATTTGTAACTTAATACAAAATTAAAAAAAAAATGAAGGTAGTATAAGTCATGCTTACAAGTTAATATAATAATCATAGCAGTATTACTGATGTTTGAATGGTCATTTGAATGACTTCCCTGGTAAGACAGTTGTTGAATGAGTTCATGGTGAATGTGGTTTTTTCCTTTGAGTCACCTTTCTTTAATAAAAAATGTCTGATGTAATAGAAAACTAGCTACACATAGGCGAGAATATACAACATACTGGAAAATCATATGCTAGAAATCAACAAAACTAATTCGTACTGCTTCTTAATTTAAGCTCATTGAGTTTATTTTCAACTTGAGGTACGTGGGTGAGGGTATGGAGGAGGGGGAGTTTCTCTGAGGCCCGCGAGGACCTGGCTGCCCTAGAGAAGGACTACGAGGAAGTTGGTGTTGATTCTGCTGATGGTGACGGAGAGTTAGAGGGAGAAGAGTACTGAAGAAGTTATATTCGACCTTCCAACACCTGCTGCCACTGTTCATCTAGCTGGAATATATACAAACCCAGGAGTTGCTGGATTGTTGTGGGTCGCATCCTAGGGAGGACCTAAGAGTACCTTTGGGAATAAGTCACACTGATTTGGCTTTGTTGTACTATTCTGGGGTAATAACCCTCTGGGTTAATAATCCAAAATCTTCTCCTTCTCCTCTTAATGTTTTAATTAACTGGAGAAATATTTTTACATTACGGAATATACAGTGACCAAAAGTTTTAAATTATAATTACATTTAGTTTTAATATATGATCATTTCACTTTTTGTCAATATCGCATCATTGTGTGAAGCCTTCCAGGTTAACTCGCAGTTTGTGTCTTATTTGGTGGAACTGAAAATATATGATGGTACACCATCCTAAAATCACGTTTTATTTTCCCAAACAACATGTATAGCCTTAATATTTAATATATTAAATTGTGTCATGATTATCTGATTATGCAGATCTACCAGTGTGTAGATAAACAAGATATATACTCCGTGAGGTGTGTGTATCTATCTATAGGTAGGTAGGTAGGTACGTAGATACACACACACACACACACACACACACACACACACAGAGGCCACTTTATTAGGTACATCTGTACACCTACTCGTTAATGCAAATATCTAATCAGCAATTCATATGGGAGCACCTCAGTGCCCTTAAAAGCATGTTAACATGGTTAAAGAGCGTTCAGTTATTGTTCAGATCAAACATCAGAATGAGGATTTTTGATATTCAATGATTGTTGGTGCTAAAATAGTGTGTTGAGTATCTTACAAAACTGTGATCTCCTGGGTTTCATCGCACAAGAGTCTCTTACAGCTTACAGTGAATGGTGCGAAAAATACAAACATTCAGATGAGTGGCAGTTCTGTGGGTGGTGAAACAGCCTTGTTTGAATTACAAAGGTAAGAGGAGACTGGTCAAACTGATTCAAGCCGACAGAAGGTACAGTATCTACCACGTGTTACAAAAAAGTGGTATGCACAGAAAAGCATTCTCTGAACAACAACACATATAACCTTGAGTGGATGGGATACTGGCAGCAGAAAAGGCACACCGGGGGTTAATTCATAATCAGCTAGACGGGGTGACTGATGCCTTAGAGAGGGAGAGGCTCACTATAAACTGGGCACCGGACAAAGACTGGCAAAACGTCGCCTGGTCTGACGATCGCAATTTCTGCTGCGACGTGCAGATGGCAGGGTCAGAATTGGTTTGTAAAATACTGAATAAATGGATCCACCCTGCTTGTGTCACGTTCAGACTGGTGGTGGTGGTGTAATGGTGTGGGGAATATTTTCCTGGCACACATCAAGCCCCTATATGCAAATTGGAGCATCGATTAAATGTCAAGTTTACTATCTTTCAGTGGTAATCCAGCAGGTAACACGCCATGTTCAACGAAACTTCGTCATCTCAAGCTGGTCCACGAACTGCAGTGAGTTTCAGTGTACTTGCAAGTTGGCCTCCCCAGGTCGCAAGATCTCAGGTCCAACAATACTTTGAGATGTGACCGAAACGAGATTTGATAAGCATGAACTGCAGAGACAAATCATCCGAACTGCGTGAAGGTTATCATGTCACAAGACCAGAAATCTCTAGGAATGTGTCCAGCACCTTATTGAAGCCATGTCAGGAAGAATTCAGGTGTTCCGGGGGCAACGGAAGCTCTACAAGAACTAGAAGGGTTGTACCTATATAATTTGTCCGCAGCTGTGAATTATTCTATTTAATTCATTTTTACTCACTACTTGTCGGAATATTGAAAGCTTTTCTTGATGGTGGGTTGAACAGGTTTCTTGCAGCTTTCTGACCTAATGTTGTATACAGAATAAACTATTATTCATGATAAAATAGAGGGCCTTTTCGTCATGGTTTATTTAAAAACTAAAGAATAAAGTTTACAGAGAGATCTCTGTGACAGCCTTTTTCGTAGATCTACCGGTGTGTACCTACCTCTTTGTGGTTTGCAGGGGGTCGATTCATGCTCCTGCCCTCCTCTTCATTGATCTCTACAAGGTCTCTCTCTCCCTGCTCCATGTGCTTTATCAAAACCACGTCTTAAAACTATGTATGGTTCCTGCTCACTACGTCACATGCCCCGACTATTCCACTTCCTGACAACTCTATGACTAAAGAAATGCCTTCCTAACATCCCTTTGACTACTTCTGGAGTCTTCGCTTCCAAATTGTGGCCTCTTGTTTGTGTCCCATCTCTGGAACATCCTGTCTTTGTCCACCGTGTCAGTTCCTCGCAGTATTTTATTTGCAGTTATCATGTTATATCTCAGGGTTTGTTTCTGGACCTCCCCAGCAATGAGAGTGGCTACTCTCACCGCTGGGGCAACGGCGACCAAAAACTTATACAATGGCAGAACTTGACATGCCAGATAGAGAACATCCTATACAAGTTGTAATACCACGGATTATATCATCAATACTCTCCTCACAGGACTCAAAAGAATGACTCTCCCACAGAAGGGTTCCGTCGTTTTTATTCATAAAGATGAATTATCATCGACCAATGATATGGAAGCAACCTCCCTTGAGGAAGATGATTGGGTAACACCAGAACCTTCTATGTTTTACTGAGAAATCATCGCACCAATTAGGGAGGACATCTATATAACCCTTCTACTGTAGAAATTATACTATATTTACTATGGCGGGGACACCCACTGTAAGAAGCTGGCAGGAAATTTATTGCCTTCATTGTCACTTAAATATCCGTTGTGCAATCGCAAAAAAAAAGGCAATTGCAACTTGTATATTTAATACAACTTCTGAGTCATTGTATTTATATATATTGTAATTTTATGTGACTGAGGGTGTTAGTATTATTCCCCTTTAAAAATATCTTATTATCTCCAATACACTTTTTTTAAATTACACCAGAGTGGTTGGCCATTACCTTTTATATCCTACCTCTCTCCCCCCTCCCACTCTTTTCAATATTTCTTCCTTGCCCATCTCATGCCTTACCCATCTTACAAGCTCTGGTCATAAGAAGAAGTTATCTTTGTCGTTTTAACTCTCCTGTCCTCAGTGTCGTCAGGCCGATTTCCTTAACCTTTTTAGTAGGACTGTTCCCTTTAGCTCTGGGATCTCGTCTCGTTGCAAAACTTTTGACTTTCTTAATTTCGTGACGTGCTTGACCTGGTATGGATTCAAAACTGTGTGCAGCAAAACTTAATATGGGCTGACGTACATGGTTGTACAGATTTTGAGTCCTTACTGAGGTTCCGGAACGCCATTCTTAGGTTTGCCAGGCGCCCATAGGTTAAAAACAGCTATTGGTTATGTGGCGCCTCAGATGTGCTCGGTATTAATACTCACCCAAGTCTTTTCCTTGAACGAGGTTTGCAGTTCTTTGGCCACTAGGATATACTCTATCTGCGGGTCTGCTTTGCCCTCCCAGATTTCATTGATTTTGCATTTGGTGAGGTTAATTCTCGGAGTCATGCACCCATCACAGGTGATCATGCACCATCACAGGTGATCATGCACCATCAAGGTGATCATGCCCATCACAGCCGTGGTCATGGCACCAACACAGGTGGTTCATCATGCACATCACAGGTGATCATGACACCATCACGGTGGCCATGCCACCATCAAGGTGGTCAACTGCCCCATCACAGGGTAGTCATGCACCATCAAGGTGGAGTCATGGCACATCACAGGTCGGTTCATGCACCATCACAGGTGGTCATGCACCATCACAGGTGGGCATGCACCTTCACAGGTGGGTCATGCACATCTCAGAGTGGTCATCACCATCACAGTTGGTCATGCACCATCACAGGTGGTCATGCCCATCACAGGTGGTCCATGATGGGTCGAGGTATTTAGCTCCTGGCCCCGCCTCTTCACCGGGTTGCCCTCTGGGCCCTCTTCTCTCCCGCTCATGAGCTTTATCAACCTCGTCTATAAAAAACTGTGTATGGTTTCCTGCCTTCCACGACGTGTCATTTTCTAGATATTCCACTGCCTTACAAACTCTATGAGAAGAAATACTCTCCTAATATCTCTTGACTCATTTGTGTCTTCATTCAATTGTGGCTCTTGTTTCTGTGTCCCCTCCCTGGAACATCCTGTCTTTGGCAACCTTGGTCTATTCACGCAGTATTTTATATGTCGTTATCATGTCTCCCCTGCCCTCCTCGTCTCCAGTGTCGTCAGGCGCCGATTTCCTTAAATCTTTCTTTCATAGGGAATTCCCCTTAGCCTCTGGACTAACCTTGTCGCAAACTTTGTACTTTCTTGTTTCTTGACGTGCTTTATCAAATGCGGCGTTCCAAACAGGTGCTGATAACTCCAGTATGGGCCCTGATATAACGGTGGAAACAGTGTCTTGAACGATTCCTTATAAGGTAAGGAATGTGTTCTAGGTTTGCCAGGCGCCATATGCTGCAGCAGTTATTGGTTGATGTGTGCTTCCGGAGACATGCTCGGTGTTATACTCACCCAAGATCTTTCTCCTTGAGGGAGGTTGCGTCTTTGGACCACCTAGCCTATACTCGGTTCTGTGGACTTCTGTGCCTTCCCCTATCTTCATGGACTTTGCATTTGGCAGGATTAAATTCGAGGAAGCCATTTGTGGACCAGGTGTCCAGTCTGTCCGGTCTCTCTGAAGTCTGCTGGTCCTCATCAGATTTAATTCTCCTCATCTAACTTCACATCAACTGCAAACAGGAGACAATTCTGAGTCTAACCCTTCCTCATGTGATTCACATATGCCAAAAATAGCACTGGTCCTAGGACCGACCCCTGTTTTTTCCTTTCTGGGTCCCCGCTCGTAAGGTGCCCACTGTGATACATATTACGTACCATGACTCGTTGTATGTCTCAACTGTCAGTTATTCTCTGATCATTGCAGTGCCTTCCTGTTATATCGTGGTCAATGCACCATTCACAGGGTGGTCATTGCACCATCACTGGTGGTCATGCACCATCACAGTAGTCATGCAACCATCACAGGTAGGTCTGCACCACCACAGGTGGTCATGCCCATCTCTGGTGGTCATGCACATCACAGGTGGTCATGTACCATACAGGTAGTCATGCACCATCACAGGTGGCTGCACCAACAGGTGGTAATGCACCATCACAGGAGTCATGCACTCACAGGTGGTCATGCCACCATCGCAGGTGGTCTGCACCTTCACAGGTGGTCATGCACCATCACAGGTAAGTCATGCACCATCAAAGGGGGTTCATGCACCATCACAGGTAGTCAGCACCATCACAGGTGGTTCATGCACCATCACAGGTGGTCATGCACCCATCACAGGTGGTCATGCACCATACAGGTGGTCATGTACATCACAGGTAGTTCATGCACCATCCACAGCGTGGTCATGCACCATCA